AAGTATTTTTAGTATTTTTACTCTGCTGTAAAATAACTTTCAAGTGTTTTTCTTTAGAAAACTTTACTTCCAAAGCATAATAAAATTCTGTTTAATGCCTACAAAAACGGCTGGTAGGGACTACAGCGAGTTGCTTCCTGGGTTCGTGACATCACAAACCCAGATAAACCCCGCCCCCGGGAAAAGACATCAAAGGGGGCGATGCCATGCTGCGCTGCTTTAGAGAAGAGGAAGAGAAAACTAGAGGTGCACGTAAAAATCTATTCATATATGAATTCACAAGTTTCAAAATCAATGTTCTAGAGCAGAGGTTCTCAATACTGTTCCTCAACGCCGTGCTTGCACAGGTTCTGCACGATCCTCTTCATTAATATCCTCTGCTTCTCAATCGGGCTCAAACTGATTAGCGATATCAATGACGCCGTTGTTTACAATACAACCGAAGCACATGCCGCTGAGATGAGGGGCGGGACGTTTAGACGCGCACTAGAGGCGGTTTAGCCAATCACAACACACTGGGCTAGCTAACCAATCAGAGCCCATCACCTGTTTCTGAGGGAGGGGCTTCATAAAAACAGGAAATGATCAGCGCGTTTCTCAGAGAAGGGACAGAGCGGTGTGGAATAAAGGTAAATTATGTGAAAAATAATGCGTTTAAAAAAAAAAAAAATTTTAACAAAGCATTAACGCATGTTGGACTGCACCCCATAAACACAATCAAGCCTAGAAAAAAAACAGTGAACCACCCCTTTAAATATAATTTAATACTCAATTACATTAGAAATCTGTTGCTTTCTTTCTTTTACTCAAGTAAAAATAATTCAAAGATTTACTTGAGTGCTAGAAAGTACTAGTTTCAGTTTCACTTTAAAATTTATTCCAGGAATACATGCTGCTTTGAACGATTATGTAATCGTGGCATCTGTAATTGTAATCACGATTAGAAATTCGCAAATCACAAACACTTGACACATCACCAACAAGAACAAGATCACCGAAGTATTTCTTACGCAAATCCTCAAACAAAGAGCAATCACACAAAAAATACTTCTCGTCTTCTGTCACAGAAATATTTGATGTTAACTTACAATAGCTACAGATTCTCTCTGCCATTGGTGTATTACTCCATCTGCCTGTTTCTGTAGCAAGATGATGACTTGAACATCTATAAAGGAACAATGATCGTACCAGTTGCATGTTATACATAGACGCAATGTAGCTCTCTTGTATCAATGAAGACTTGTATTGTGAATATATATTTAACTTATTATTTTCCAAAACTGATGTATACCATGCCTCGTGTGCTTTTTCTTTCAATCGTTGGTTAAGAATAGCTGTAAATGTTCTTATATCACCTAAGTACTAGTTTCAGTTTCACTTTAAAATTTATTCCAGGAATACATGCTGCTTTGAACGATTATGTAATCGTGGCATCTGTAATTGTAATCACGATTAGAAATTCGCAAATCACAAACACTTGACACATCACCAACAAGAACAAGATCACCGAAGTATTTCTTACGCAAATCCTCAAACAAAGAGCAATCACACAAAAAATGCTTCTCGTCTTCTGTCACAGAAATATTTGATGTTAACTTACAATAGCTACAGACTTGTATCAATAAAGACTTGTATTGTGAATATATATTTAACTTATTATTTTCCAAAACTGATGTATACCATGCCTCATGTGCTTTTTCTTTCAATCGTTGGTTAAGAATAGCTGTAAATGTTCTTATATCACCTACACTTTGAGCCTCGCAGGCACTAGAAAAACCATATAATACAGCAGAACTCTAATACGAGTAACCCATGTTTTTCTACCTAATTCATCTAATTGAAAAAGCATATTATAAAATTTTCTTGACATATGGACACTAGTTTTATCCAATACATGATACATCTTTTCATATAAGAAGTGGACAATACAGATCTACCCAAATCACCCAAGACAGCCACATTACTCACACTTGTGCTGATACACAGGAGTTTTTTTACAAAAAGATACCTGAACATTTTCAATACACTCCACTGGTTCAAAACCCCATATCTCAGATCCATGATAAAGTATAGGTGCAACCATGCGATCAAACAAATACAAAGATTGATTGCAGCTAATTTTATATTTACGAGCAAACCTTAGCAAGGAAAGCATTGCTTGCTCTTGCTTTGGCTTGCTAAAAGTTGTCGGGTTTTCCACCATGACAATTTTGGTGCAAACCACATTCCCAGATATTTGTAACAATTAACCACTTCAATCTGTTCACCGGCAAAATACCATTTTTCATCCTTATTTAGGGAGCCCCCTCTTCTAAAAAATTATTTGATAAAAAATTCTTGAATCTCTTACATCATACGTACATCTGCACTTTGTTGTTTATGATGAGAGAATTCACGAGAGAGCAGAATTCAGTCGGCGAGCGCGTGCAGTGAACAAGAACTCATCTGAACGCCTCTGATTGGCCATTGCATTCATAAGCTCAACAGACTCATGTGTGATTGGTTATAATGCGCAACACTGTAAAAACGCGTAAAAAAATCATTGCGCAACAATGAGCAGATTTAACGCTGCGGTCAACACTTTTCATTTTATTTGCGACAGCCGTAATGGATTTAGTTTAACTGTACAGCAGCATTTGTGTCTGTGTTGCCATAATTTCTACAAGCGGAATCTGAGGATATGCGGATATTACGTCATTGATAGGCGACAATGATTAGGGACGAGTCATTATTTAAAATTGGGATTTCTCTGGATTTACAAATCCTTGGGAACTTTTGGGTTAACATACACTGCATACACAACTGCATGAAATATATACATTTTTGGATGTTTTGTTATGAAAATCTTACATATTGTGCCTTTAATAATGAATTATAAGTGGAAGTTTGAGTATATTATCTGATTGTGATAGCATCAGTAAGAGCCAGTAATATTAAAATCTCTCTTTGCTGTAATGTTGAACAGAAACCAACAGGTGATCATTTAAAGATGTCAGATGTGCCAGTCAGCATTCGCTAGCGTTGACATTTGAGACTGACGTGGTTCAGTTAAATCTTATTTTCAGTGGATTTAGTTTTTGGAGGAGTTTCAGTGAGACGCTCCGGTGAAAAACAAAGGTCGTCTCTAGCAGCGATGAAACGTCTGTCTCTGAGCAGAGAAATATTGAACTCTAGATTGCATGACTCTGTTTGGTTTCTCACAGATTGATTTTGACGCATATGTAGATTTATTGGAGGTACGGTGCAGATTGAGGTCATAACATTGAGCCGAGCTAAACAAACCCCGCTGAGAGATTGATTTATTTTCTCCTGCACTGAGGGCCAGTTTAAAGCGAGTTTTGAGGAGAAGCAGCCGATTCTCCATGCAATCCTCTCTCTTTTATTGTATTTTTACCCGGCCCTTCTGGAAATGAGACACTTTTCAGCACGGTTATGAATTTTTATTGCTTTCAGGCTCCACAGAGTTAATGCCTTCAGATGCTGGTGTGGATGAATATTGGTTTTCTGTCCAAAACCTGTGCGTAATGCTTAAGAAGAATCGCTCAAGGCTCTTGATGAGGAATAGCTGATATTTTGTTTGTATGAGTTGTGTTACTGACATCTAATCCACTTATTAAACCTGTATATTACTATCAGGAGACACTTTATCCACTTATTTTTAAATAATTGGTATACCGTTACAGTTTCTGTTAATATTTTGAATTAGATTTTATTTATATATTTTGTGTTTTCACTTAAATTGTAAAGTTTTAGTAATTGTGTTGGATGCTTTTGTAATTTTTTATTTTATTTATTTTTTTATTTTTTTTAAATATGGCTGAAATATTTAATTTTTATGAATTCGTTTTAGTACTTCAACTTAACCTAAATGAAAATGAGAAACTAGCTGAAATAAAATAGTAAAAGTTTAAATTAATATTTTTATTTTAATTTACGTTTTATTTCAAGTAATGAAATTTATTTTATTTCAGATATTGAATTTTTTTTTATTGTTTTAGTTGCAGTTAATGATAATAACCTTGATACAAAGAGCCGAATCGCCCATCACACAGATTGCATTTAAAAACATATGAGACACAGTGAAAAGAAATAAACCTCCACAAATTCGTGACGCGTTTTCTAAAAGTTAAAACTGTTTTAACTTTGCAAGGCTTTCTAAACATCTCTTGTTTGAGACGCGAGTGCAGCAGTCATATTTGTCCGTCTAAAAATTGCGCTGAATATGCGTTCTGTGTGAATGGCTTGGTTTCGGTTTTCACCTAATCAAGATCTTCTCCACATTGAGCTTCTATATTTCTCTAATATTTTGAATGAATAGCGCAGCAACTGCGTGTCTTGTGGGCTAGACTTATAAACATAAAAATGCAACAACGTCACTTACATCATCATCACCGCGTCTCGCGCACCACTGATGACGCTCCCTGATGCACACCTAACATTTGATTGTACTATTTTTGCATTCAAATGCAAATGTTTATTTTAAATTCGACTAATATTCTTTTTTTTTAATTCACAATCTCCTCATCACAGGCAGGCACAGCACTCATTTCAACATGTGTTCGTGTTCGTGTGTGCGGTCTGCGTCACTCATAGTACGTGCCTATATCGTGCGCTATATCGAAGAAGGTGTACCGTCGATAAATATCGATACTGTTTTATCGCCCAGGCCTAATCACAGTATATAATTGTGCTTCGATATTGTTTGCTTACCTGTATTTATTAGTGTTGTCTGCTAAGTCAAGCATCGTTATTACTATTTCTTGTATTTGCCATCATTTTTAAGTGTAAAATGTATGACTTTAGTGTTCAAATCTCATTTTCAGCATCACTGATATTTATAATTTCCTTTTATTTCCAGACTTCAAGAGCAAGAGCGAGCACTGAGATTATCCACCAAAGAGGCAACGGCTAAAGTAAGTCCACATTTTAATCACATATTAATCATCTGTTCTTGCCCTAGGCATTTTATTTGACTTTACTTTATTTTATTAACAAAACGTTTGTGGCACAATTGTATGTTATTTATTATTTTATTTTAATATAAGATACTAGAGAACAATTCTCGGAGATCTCAAAATCTCAGGTAAATTTTGAAGTTTGTTTAGATTTTTGTTTTACTATAAAACAAGAAAAAAGACGCTGATCTGGAAGTGTATAATGGAATAACATACTCTCATGCTACTCACACTATTATACACTGTTTGAGATTCTGTATCCCACAGTGCAATGCACTCAACTTTCCAGTCTTTCTTTTCTATTTCCAGTTTGAGGAATGAACCGTAAATTATCTTAGTTACTAAATTGCATGATTTTTAACTACTAATTTGCTTATACTGGCCAAAATTATTTTTTATTTCATAAAATTCAAATAAAAATGTGAAATATCCATTCTGATAACTGGACATGCAACATAAGGTCATATGACAACATTGTAGCATGCTAACATTTACAAACATTAATCATTGGGTAATTTGTAATTTTTTTTAGCAGCATGTAGTTTCTGGAAAATAAGTTGCACTGGGACATGTCCCTACCAATATCCATGAAGCGCAAGCAAGCACATGCGTTGTGATTACTCTTTTCACAGCAGACGGGATGAGGAGGAGAAGAATTGTTGAATTTTTTGTTTTCTATGTGCTTAGATGCAGTTTTCACTGCTTTAGGATTAACAGAACTTTGGATAGTTTCCATGTACTTGTCTAGATCAACTTAATAATAAAGAAAAGAGAGGTTTAGAGCCAGATTTTTGTTTACGTATATGTGAAATTTAGCTAGCAGGAAACAAACGAAGTCATATTTTCCTATATTTTCTTTCGAGTAGTCAAACAATCCAAAGAAAACCTCTTTAAAACAGAAAAAAAAGTAACTCGGAAGAACATAAAAAAAAAAATCTGACCAAAACAAGTGTCTTCCTCAGAGAATGACAAAAACAGCAGATCACTGCAATGTCTGTCTTATATTATTTTGTTTGACCTCTTCATATTTAAGGAGAGAACTTTATAAAAAAAAGTTAGACATCGCTTATTATGATTTTCAATTAGAAGGGACGCTATGACATGTCTCTACCAATATCCAGCAACTGCTAAATTGTCACATACATTTAGCCCTTGATTTGCATGCTTGACATTAATATAATATAATATGCTTTATAATATTGCATTATATAAGTAGAGTGAATACGAGTACCAGCACATTTCAGATGATAAAATTAGATGATAAAAAGACTTATAATCTGTGAGATACAGAACTGGTGTCAATCCAAAAGCAAAGTCTCCACTTCCAGTTGCAGTGATGTGTGTGTGTGTGTGTGTGTGAGTTAGTTAGCACCACGATAATCAGAGACACAATGAGCTGCTTTCCTCCTGTGAGCAGCATGGAAATAGACATTTATCTGTGTGTATGTGTGTGTGTGAGGTGGTGTTTTCACCGTGGGTGGAGCTGAGAGGAGATGAGCTGCCTGAAAAATGGCACAGTGTGACTTTACCCTCTGTTTGGCCGTTATCTGATGGCAGAGCCACGGAGCGTCTGGCTGCAGCGCACAACCGCCTTCACATCGGGAGGACCAGTGGCATCTGGCCCACCACTAATGGCTTCCAGAATGTTCAGTGCCACACATGTATTTTTCTTTATTTTTAAGATTTTCTTTAAAAAGTTTGTGACACAAATGTATGTCACATTTAAGATTTTTTATTATCTTAACAAAAAAGTCTATGTGGCTCAAATATATGTTGTATTTAAAATTATTATTTTATTTGATGTAAGATATTATCTTAACAAAAACATTTATGTGGCACAGATGTATATTGTATTTACATTTTATTTACGTTTAGTCATTTAGCAGATGCTTTTATCCAAAGCGACTTACAAATGAGGACAATAGAAGCAATCAGAATCAACAAAAGAGCTTGATATGCATGATATGCAAGTGTTATGACAAGTCTCAGTTATAGCTTGGAAGGGCAGGGCTCAGAATGTGATTTAAACATTTATTTTTCTTCATAATCATATTTTTCTTACTTTATTTTTTATTCTTATATTTATGAATTTTATTTTATTTTATCTTTTATTTTAAAGGTTCTCTTAACAAAAAGTGTGTATGGCAAAAATGTTAGTGTTTTTATTTTATTTTATGCAAACTTTTATTTTTATGTTATTTTAGAGCCTGAAACTTCTACATAACCTCTTCATGCCCTTCGTCCTTTTAACATCTTAGCAGCATAATTTTTTTTGCGTTTTCTAAATTTTTTTCTACTCATGTGAATATTAACATCTGAATATTAACAGCTGTTGTGCATTAGCATTTATCATTTATGGCTCAATCTGAAGATGAGAGATGATGAGAGAAATGTGAGGACCTCATGATGGAGGAAATGAAAAATGCTCAATTTATTGTTGGTTTGAACTTTAACCTCAGTAAGTTGAGTGACTGCTCTTTTCCTCAGGTGTGTAATCTCTGTTTCTCGTGGTTCAGGTGGTGATGAGTCAGAGACTGGGCTCTCGTCTGCGACGGAAGGTCAGCGAGAGTGAAACGCAGCTGCTGACCCTTCATGATGCGAAGCTCGCGGCCATCTCAGGTACCGCTCTTTCTGTGCTCATCTGAACCCGTCGCCTCCTGCGGCTGTTTCAGATGTCACTGTCACTGTGTGCTCGACAGCACTCCACAATACAGAATGACAGGCTCAAAGTACAGCCCGTCCTCCACTGGGATACTTGAGTACTGCCTACAAACACTACTGTTCAAAAGTTTTGGGGGCAGTAAGATTTCTTAATGAGTTTGAAAGAAGTCTATTCTGCTCACCGAGGCTGCATTTAATTGATTAAAAAAAAACAGTAAAATTGTGAAATTATACTACAACTCAAAGTAAGAGTTTTCTATGTGGATATATGGTAAAATGTAATTTATTGCTATGATGCAAAGCTGAATTTTCAGCATCATTACTCCAGTCTTCAGTGTCACATGATCTTCAGAAATCATTCTAATATTCTGATTTGCTGCTCAAGAAACATTTCTGATTATTATCAATGTTGAAAACTATGGAAGCGCATTTCTGCCAAAAAATAAATAAAGTAAAGTTTTTATCTCACTATTTAGACTTTTAATATATAAACTCTGAATTTAATTAAATTTAATTATAAGGTTCTCTTAAAGTTTGTGGCACAAATAAAAAAAAAAAAGTTGAGATTTTATTATTTTATTTTATTTAATTTTAAAGGTTCTCTTAGGAAAAAGTTTATATGGGACAAATTAAGATTTGTGAGATTTGTTTTATTTAATTTTATTATATTATTTTTATTTTTATTATAATTTAAAGTTCTCTTAAAAAGTTGTAGTTATAGGTCTTATTTTATTCTGTGGCAAGTTTATATGTTATAGTTTGTGTCAATTCTTAGACAAAAAGTTAGAATTGTGAGGAAAAAAAGTCTGAATTGTGACGCATTTCAATGATGAATTTAATGAATCCTTGCTGAATTTATTCATTCATTCATTCATTAATTAATGTATTTATTAAGCACCAATAAACACAACAGCAGTTGACCATAGTGCTGTACAAATAAGATAAAAACAATAATAAAAGATAATGTCAATGAGAACAATAATAAAAAAAACACAAAGTTTAAAAAGCCAAAGTAAGAAAATAAGATTTAAATTGAGTTTTTAACTCGTAGACAGAATTAGAAGTTTTCACAGATAAAGGAAGTCTATTCCATAGCCTCGGCCCAACTATTGCAAATGCACGATCACCTCTTGCCTTTAATCGGGATCTAGGCTGAGACAAAGAGTACTTTTTTTGTAGATCTTGTTGGCTTTTTTTCTTTTTCATGGCCCCAAATATTGCAAGCTGTAGCGATATGCATATTGCGATATGTACATTTGCGGTACATTTTCGATATATTGCACAGCCCTAGCTCTCGCTTACGAGCCCCAGTTAAAAACCTGGCTGCAGCATTTTGAACCATCTGGAGTCGTGATACAGAAGACTGGGGTAGATCAACATATAAAGAAATACAATAGTCCAGACACGACAAGACAAGGGCATGTTTAACTCTCTCAAGATCTTTAAACGATAGCCAAGACTTGACTCTAGAGAGAAGTTCTAAATGAAAAAAACTTGCCTTCACTACTGTGTTA